TCTTTTATCACCCTTGTTGGGCTTTTCTTCTGCATGTGTCTCCTTACTTTCTACAGCCACATGACTTTTGTTAGCCCATAGATCATTCCTGGCAGCTTTCCTGTATCTTTTTTAGTCTTACCATAAGTTTTTGAAATAAGAAGATTCAAAACATTCATGCTATCCCAGACCGTTTTTCACTCACTGTTCCTAACATTTGATTTGAGGTTTTTTGTTTTTATTTTTACTGTTAGAAAACATTAAACAAAAAAGTCAATAAGGTCTCTTTACAGATGTGAAATAGCTGGTTTAGATCCCAATACAACACATATAAGCTTTGGGTCATTCTCTTCCCCCAGGCACAGGAAGTTAAGTTAGAATTGAAGGCAGAATTACAGAAGGGGCAAGCAGAGTTGTCACAAGCAGCCAGTGCAGGCCAGCTGTTAGCCAGTTACCTCTGGCAGGAGCAGCCCCTTGTGTTGATAGATACATGGACATGTCTGAGGAAGAGACATAAAACATGGGGAATGAACAGACACTCGAGGACACAGGCTTTCCACCCAGAATGAACCCACTGTGGGCAAGGAGCATGCTCCCAGTAAGGAAAAAAGCTCCAGTTAGATGCTTTGTGTGCAGCCAGGACAGTAATGGCAGGAGAGAATCAGATACAAATCCCTATTACTCCGATTCTAAAAATTCATTTGTCTCCAAAGGTTCTGTGGGGAAACAAACCAAAAAACCAAACACCACAGCCATGTGGCCTCAGTCATCCATGTTCTCGATATGCACATGCCAAGTCTTGTCCAAAGCTCAAAAAATAAAAACATGTTTTTGGGAAGGCAACAGCTTAGAACTCAATCACCCGAAGGAGGAGGAAATCTCCAACAAACTGTAGCTTGGCATTGGGGTTCAGGAACATAGTTAGTACTGGCTCCACAGGAAGATAAGCTTCTTTAGATATTCTGGAAATTGGCTCATTGGTTCCAGCTCCACTGAGCTTACTACTGAACATAAGGTATAAGAGCAAGACTGATCAAAGAGATGAAGAGTCTTACTTACCTAGAGGAGCTTTAGGAGATGTGCTCAACAAGTCAATAGATGGGCCTTGGCTGGCATCTGTGGGCACAAAACCGGAAGAAAACATTCAGTGGATTGATTCTCAACACCTTTTTTCCCAGTGTGTTCACAGGTTCACTACAGCTCTTCCAGCTCCTCTGCCCCCACAAACAAATCAAGTTACGGCTTGAAACATGCAGTTTCCCAAGCACAACAACTTTATGTCTCCATAGAGCAAATTGTTCTCTCTGCAGTGTTCTTAACACAGTAAAAGAAAGCAACCACTCTGCTGGGGAATATACAAAGCCGTTTCAAATTACAGCTATGCCCCCAGATTCTTGGTTTCCTTGTCATTCAGCCTAGAAACAGTTTTCTGCTCTATATTCATGTGTCATTTTCAGAACCACACAATTCAAGGGATAGAGAAGAGTGTTTAAACAAATAATTATGCCTGGAATCAGGAAAACGGGGCAGCTAAATCCACAAAACAGTTCTGCGTGCATTTCAGGAAAAGCAGAGAACTGATCCCAAACAGAGCAATGTTTTTTAAGTCTCCACAAATTTAATAAACATCATAGAGTGCAGAGAGCTTCCACTCCTTCAAACCGCTCAGCCCTTCCAACTGCAGTAGAGAACTGTATTCTCCTGGAAATGAAAGCATGTCTTTGGAAAGAATAATTCAGCAAGGAACTCACTTGACACTTCGCTGTCTTCTGATGACTTTGCTGCTTTTTCCACCTCTGGGGAAGACTGTGCAAGATTCTGGCTGGCATCTGCTACATCCCAGGTACTGGAAGACTGCAAGGAGATGCTCATTTCAATGATTTGTAGAAGATGAACGAACCAGAAAATCCTGAACTTACTTCAGGTTTGGTAACCCATATTCAATTTTAGGCCAAAGGAAACTTGTTCTAAACTCCAGACTATATCTTCACTGAAGATAATATACGAACAAGTCAACATTCCCTTACCAGGGACAAAAGTTAAAGAAAAAATGAAAGCTAAGCTGAATGAAAGACCAAGAGGAATGACAACATCATCTGACAGTTGGCTACTGTGAGGACTTCTCAGGTTAAAGGACATGAGCTTAAATCTAGGAGAAAGTGTGAATGAGTTTTCCTGGAAAAAATTAAACCTCTGCTCCCACTGTCTCTATTTGCCATTCTCAGCCAATTCTCATGTCGCTCTATTCGCCCGAGAAAGTCTGCCTAGCACTGTGCAGACAGTTGCCCAAATCCATTTTGCCAGGGTCTGTGCACTGAAAAGCTGACTAACCAGAAGTTCAAAGGAATAGCCAGTTCTTGCTTAAACTGTACAAAGAAACTATGCATTAACACAGCACACACTACCGGGGAGTAGCTGGTAGCTCTGAGTATTGTTTGAAAGTAAAGATGGTCTTAAAAACAAAAGACATGGATATTACAGGCCCCATCAGGGACTGTTGAAATCTGTGACTATGTCCAAGACAGATGACTGAATCTTAGTTCTTCTATGTAACTACTGATTAATTATACAATTTAGAGTCCTTCCAAACTAAGTGGGACTGCTCCTGATTGAACAGCTGGCTATTTGAGAGCTAGTAAGGCTGCCTGGTTTAGGCAATTCTTCTCACCTGTGTGTGCTCTGTAAAGAAATCAGCATCACTCTTGTCAGGGGAGTGCCCAGGGGCTCCACTCAGTCCATCTATAAGCAGCTGAAGAGAGGAGATGAAAAAAAGAAGGTATCCTACAAGACTCAGCATCCAGCACTACTCATCTAACAGTGACAAGCTGCTCAGACTTACATCAGTGCCGTACTTGGCCATGGCAGCACTTGCCAGCTGCCGGATCTTCTCCCTGTACATCTGGGCAGCTCGGCTGTTATATTTAGCATTGGCATCTGTGGTAGTACAGCCATGCTGGCGGAAGAAAGCAGTCTGAAAAGAGAAGAATATTCAGTCTCCTGACTGCTAGATCGTACTCAAGCATGCATTAGACAAACTCAATAGAAAAAGAAAGCTTCCCAGAGACAGGGGATGACATACTGAGAACACAGCATGAACCAACCATTCACTGATCAGCTTTCTCCAAAATGTCTCACTCCAGGCCACAAAGGCTCATGAAAACCATTTATATCCTCCACAGAAGGATGATTCTGATTCACAGTGCTGAGCATGAGCTTTCAAACTAATGAGTGTTATGAACTCCTATCATTTAAGAAGACTGTGCCTCATTTAAATGAGGTGCAAGAAAATGACAGAACTGCACATCAGAAAACAATACAGGCAAAGATCACAGTCTGACCTCTAAGCACACCTGACAAACGCCTCCCCCTTCATTACACATTTCGGAAGAGTTTGCTATCCAGAAAAAGAATAGGTGAGGTTGGTACTGATAAAGCCACACAAAGGAAAGGTACAAGAAACAGAGGGTGTGGATTAGTAAGAGGGAAACCAAGCAAAATGCCCACAGAGGCTCCTCACCGCATTGGCATTGCTGCCCACTTGCATACACCTCAGCTGGAACCAGTTCCAGTTAGAATCCAATTCCGTGGACCTGTGTGAGAACCAATTATTTCTATTAATGAAGAACAAGCATACCAAATGCAAAAGCAAGCTTTAACCTAGAATGGTCAGATATCCCACTACTATCCCAGAGTATATAAGGCAAAGAGGGAAAAAACATCTTAGTAACTTCTTTGCTCCTGTAAAAAAATTAATTTGAACTTTTAAAGTGAGGAAAAAACCCAGCTTCACATCAAATAATATCCAAATTTTGAGGATCTCTCACTTGTACTGCTTGTTTAGAGGGCAGAGCTTGAGCTAGGAAAGTACAGCCAACCACATGTAGAGACTCATATTCAGCCCGTCCAATGGATTAGGCCAAAACACATGACAAAGCAACTGAGAAAACATCCAAGTAAAGTCAGGGGACACAGTGTGTCTCATATCAGTTACTCAACTTTTCTCTGAACAAGTAAAGGTCACAGTTCTATTACTTAAAATGCTAAATTTTATAAGTAGCAAAAAGAACTAAACTGAAAATCAAAAACCATCTTTCCCGCTGAGTTGATACAGAAAAGATTAAATAATATTCCTCTTTTTGCCTTGTTTAGCATTACAAGAAAGACTACCATACTGCTGTTTTACTGGCAAGATTCACACCGCACACACACTCCCCTCTCTGCTTCTACAAGTCAAAGTCCAGACAGCATTTCCGCAAGCTTAGCGAAAGTAACATGTCGATGGTCCACTTGAGGTGCTTTGGAAGCTCCATCTCGGAAGGGCTGAGTGACCCAGAACCTCCGGCGAGCGAGCCACACACAACCCGAAGGGATCGCTCCTCTCCCAATCGCTGCCTGTTCCCACGGCAAGGAGGCACGGCTGCCCCAGGCCTGCCGGCGGCACCGCGGGCCGGGCCCCCGCTCCCCACGCACCTGATGAAGCTGAGGTGCACGCCCAGGGACCTGTGGACACCGGAGCAGTCGATGCACAGGAAGACTCCGTAGGTGATGCTGGCCCAGCTCGGGTTCTTGGCGCCGCAGTCGAAGCACGACTAAAGCGAATGCAGAGGGACAACCGGGCTGAGGCGGCGGCTCTGCCGCTCCGCGACCCGCTGCCGCAGCCCGGCGGCCCCGGCTCTCCCCGGGCCCTCCTCGAGAGCCTCTGCCCGGCCGCCCCAAGAGCCGCCGCAGCGCGGCCCGGAGCCCACCGGGGTCCGGTCCGAGCGCAGACCGCGGCCGCAATGCAGCAGCCCGGCACGGAGGGTCCGGTAGCCCCCGGCCGCTCCCAGCTACCTTGTTGGCCGGCGCTGCCCGGAGCCGCTTGAAGAGAGTCTGGATCTCCGTCTTGCTCGGCTCCGCCGCCATGATCTCTCCTTCCCAGACACCCCCGCGGGGACGGGAGCCGGCCGGGCCCAATCGGCGCCGCGGCCGCGACTGGTCTGTGCTGGGCCGGCTCGCCCCGCCCCGGGAGCGGAGCAGCCCGTCCGCCGCCCGGCTGCCGGCCCGCTGCTGCTCGGGTGTCACGGCATCGCCTTCGCACGCCGGAGGCTAAACACGAGCGGGGACGTTCCGCGCGCCGAGACCCCCCTCAGCTCTGAATGCTCACGGCGGTCCCGCAGCCCCGTACCCGGCACTTCTGAGGGAGCCCTTCTGGCCGTGCCCGTCCTTTTGGGGCCGCTGCGGGCCCGGACCGAGATAAGGACCCTTTAGAATAGCAAAGAGGCAGTGCCTGCCGCGGGTCAGCTTCTACCGGGGAAAAAGCTCAGCGATTACAGGCAGCACCTGCTCCAGCAGCCCGACCTCAGGACACCGCGTCTGGCACACTGGCACAAGTGAGTGGTGATCTGGAAGTGATTCACAGAATCACAGAATATCCTGAGTTGGAAAGAACCCACAAGGATCATTCAAGTCCAACTCCTGGTCCTGCAAAGGACCATCCTCGAGAGTCACACCATGTGCCTGAGAGTATTGTCCAAACACTTCTTGGACTCAGTCAGGCTTGGTGCTGTGACCACTTCCTTGGGGAGCCTGTTCCAGTGACCAGCCACACTCTGGGTGAAAACCCTTTTTCTAATATCCAGCCTAAACCTCCCCTGACACAACTCCAGGTGATTCCCTCTGATCCTGTCACTGGTCACCACAGAGAAGAGATCAGTGTCTCTTCTTCCTAGCACAAGGAAGTTGGAGACTGCAATGAGGTCTCTGCTCAGTCTCCTCTTCTCCAAGCTGAACAGACCAAATGACCTCAGCTGCTCCTCGTACAGCTTCCTCTCAAGGCCCTTCACTACCTTCATAGCCTGATTTAGTGAGGGGGGAGACCTCTCAGCACTGGCTAATCCTGTGCAGTAATCAAGGCAGCATGAGGCAATAATCAAGGTAGGGAAGTTGTTACTTCAGAGCAAAGATCATGTCAGGGCCTTTGATGTATTACCCACCTGGAAGCAGGAGGGTATGGGATAGAAAGCCATTCAGGTATAACACGAGAAAAACAGGAAAAAATGTGGTTGTGCTTTGAACTAAAAGTCAGTGGCATATAGGCCATTTCATGCTTTAGCAAACCAAAAAAAAAAATAAAATTGGTGCAGAGCAATGAGAGATTCAGAAGGGCAATAACAACAAAGGCTAATCAGTAGCATGGTATTACAGAGATGGAATAGGTTGAGATTTCCTTACCTCTGAGATTCCTCTGCAACACCAGCTTGTCACTAAAAGAAACAGTTAAACATACTAACACCTGGACAACTTTCAGTTTAAATTTAAAGACTTTCATTTCACTCATTTCCACATTACCCACAGATATTAAGGCAGACAGTAGAATTCATTGCAATGAGAACCTAGGACCTATGATCTTAGGAAGATACGTAAAGTCGGGACATAGAGATTCAATCAGGAACAACAGAGTTGTTGAGGAAAAAAAACTGCAGGAAAAGCCCCCTGCAGGTTTAGCAGGATCTTGTATTCTGGGAATCAGAAAAACTCTTAACTACATGATCAGAGTGAGATCTGATATAGGAGGCACATACAGTAAGATGAGAGGCTTCTGGCTGACACATCTGATTCCAGCTACTCTGAGATGACTTTCTGAACTGGGTAGTGAAGCCTGATCTAGTGTGACAGGGCTCATTCTTGGCAGCAGTCCTATCTTAAGCAGCCCCAGGTTTCTGTTGCTCTTATACTGCTACCTTAATTGTGCCTATATGCCCATTTCTGGGATTACACAAACAGCATTGGGGAACCAATTCAGGTGAAAGTAACCGATAGCAGTTTCCTCACAGCTATTTTTAAAAGAGTTCAGTTCCCTGATGCCATTCATGGTGCAGCTGTCCTGGCAGTCATACCAGGAGAGCTGATGTCAGGGTGCAGTAAGGGCTGGTTGCACACTAGGAGAAGAGCTGTGAGAGGGGTGTTCCTGAGGCAAGCAGGCCAGGGCCCTCACCAGCCACGGCCCATTGCCACAGTACTTGATCATGTAGAGCAAGGCAGGCCCAGCACAGGGGCTGGATTTCACCAAAAATTGAGATAGCTAGGCAAGTTCGTGGTGATGAGGTAGTTTGGGTCAGGATCAGCCCAGTGATTGCCAGGCATGTCTGTGGTGACAAGGCAAGTCAAGCCTGAGATCAAGCTGGTAAACCAGCCTACAGGTCAGGCACAGAGACCATTACTCCTCCAACTTAGCTCAGACAGGGACTAGTAGCTCTGGGCTGAGCTTAAATGCAAACACATCCAACCCCCCCAACCCCATGGGCTGGGAGTTTGGGTAGAACCCCAGGTGAGGCTGCTCAGGACAATGAAGACATGTTAGTGCATTAAGGGCCCAGGGTGGAGGCTGTGTAAGCTGCATCTTGTGTCGAGGAGCAAGTTCAGATGATGAGTGTGCATTGGGAGTGTTTGTGTTCATGTTGGCTAGAGCTGCCCCAACCTGAGTTGCTTGCTCCTGTCTTGTCATCATCTGTTTTGTGGTGCTGCTCCCTTCCTCTGCTTGTTTCATTCTTGTGAGCTCTGTTTGGCTGTGTGATGGAGATGTCACACAAGGGTTAGGAGGGGCAGACTCTGTTCATGCTGGCGTTCCCCCAGCTGAGGCTTGTGAGATAGTGTCCTGGTTTTGACTGGGATAGGGTTAATTTTCTTCCTAGTAGCTGGTGTTTTGCATTTAGTATGAGAAAATGTTGATAACACAACTGATGATTTGGTTGTTGCTGAGTAGTGGTTACTGTAAGCCAAAGACTTTTCAGTTTCCCAGGTTCTGCCAGTAAGGAACTGCCTAAGAAGCTCGGAGGGAGCATGGCCAGGACAGTTGACCCAAACTGGCCAAAGGGATATTCCATACCATAGAATATCATGCCCAGTATATAAACTGGGGGGAGTTGTCTGGGAGGGGCTGATCACTGTTTGAGGAGGGGATGGGCAGTGATCAGCAGGTGGTGAGCAGTTGTATTGTGCATCACTTGTGTTTCTTGAGTTTAATTCCTTTATCATTATTATCATTATTATAGTTTTACCTTTTTATGATTCTCCTCCCTATCCCACGGGAGGGTATGGGTGGGTGGAGTGAGCAGGTGGCTGCCTGGTACTTGGATGCAGGGTTAAACCACAACAGAGAGAAACGGCATCTGCCAGGAGGAGGCAAGGCAGCCTCAGAGGCCAGTAGGTCAGTGTCACACTTTGTCTCTGCCTGTCTGTGCTAGGGGACATGGGGAGATACAGTACAGGCTCCTCTCCTCCGTGGAGGGAGCACAGTTTCTGTTCACTGCACCATGTCCTAGGAAGGCTTGCTACAGCAGGGTTACTTAAATTCTCTACCTCGGCAGGGTCCCTTGCAGGCCTTCCAGCTCATGCTGGTTGCTCCAGATCCTGGCAAAGCTGCCGATCCTGTCCATCAGTTTTCCATAAAAGCAGCAGGAAGAGCATGCTGCTGGTCTGAGAAATAATCAGTTTCTTTCTGTTGCCTTTGTCAGTTACAGGAAAGACCTCCTGCTGCTGACTGTTCCCTGTGAGCGTGTGTTGTCATTGCACTGTTCTTGCTATTTCCTCCATCTGTTTCTTTTGCATCTCATATGCTTTAGTGCTGAATTCCTGAGCTCCAAGCTGGCAGCCTGCTCTTTGGCCCTCAGCTTCCCTGTCCATCAACATCACATCTGACACTTGCCTCTTTCTTCCTGACTGCTGTGACACCAGACCCTGAGCCTGATGTAGTCTCCCAATCAGAAATCACCTTGCTGTTACCCACCTCTATTTATGAAAGATAAGATAGAGCATCATCCAAGAGAGCAAAGAAAAGCAAAGGACCGTGACTAGGCTTGTTCTTGGAGTCTGCCATAACACCGGGGATGCATTAGCAGTACAGAAGTCTGGTTATCTGAGGGCATGAGGTTACTGAGCTGGAGAGACTCAGGAGTGAAGTGCTGTGATGGGGATCAAACATGCCCTGCACTTTCAGGCCTGAAAACAAGAGAAGAGAAAAAGAGAAGTGAAGAGAAAGTGCTTCTCTGTGAGTCTATCCAAAAGCAGGGTGGCAGAAGGAAAGAGGGACCTTGGTCTCTTCTCACTGTCCAGCAAAGAACATGGGTGAAAGGACTGTGCAGGAGAGATGAAGTGGCTGAGTCCTGCTCTCCTACTCAGACCCATAGGCCTCTCACACTTTTGCTGAATGAGAAGATTTGGGAAAGGGTCTGACAAATTCAGTAAACTACCCAAAAATTAACAGGGACATATAGTTTCCCATAGATCACAGTGTTAAGTGGTGGGGTACCAGCAATCTACAATGATACCTTGGGCAGAGAAGCAATTCCTAACACAAATCTCTTACTTCCCCGCCCCCCCCCTTCCTTACTAAGCAGTTTACAGACATGAATTAATCCATGATTTCCCTCAGGGATAGTCAATAACCCTGGGAGAGAGCTCTGCTCAGTATTTCAGGGCTATTTTCAGTAGTGGAAAGAGCAAGCATAGCCATGAATGAAGGAGTGGAGAATCAGATAGAAAGCATTCTCCCTCTCACTAGAACAAGGGATGGGTTCTCAGCAGGGATGTCCCTTCCCAGAGTAAGAAGATACTCCCAGTTTCCCGTGGTTTCAGGGATCATGTGGAAACTTTTCCATATGGTTAGGTTAGGTTTCTGTCAAGTCAGCAAACTGCCTGCACTCCCGTAAGGCCATATATTTGCTGGGATTGATGTGAGGGAAGCAGATGGCTGAGAGTCGTGGGTGACTGGCCTGCTGGTGTGCTGGACTGAGTGTAATTAGTAGCTGCCTTCCTAGGAAGGAGTACAGCACTGAGGCAGGCAGTCATGTCACACACTGACTCTGTTCAATGCTGCCAGCATGATCTAAGATAAGAAGCTAATAGACTATGTGTAGAGTGAATATTTTGTTCAGGTTTACAACTTACAGTTTTACAGCAGTCTTGCAAATGTTGTGGTTTGGAGAAAAGCCAGCAAATGTAGAAGAAACACATAAGTTAAGGAACACAATGGATGTTGTGTTCCTTGAGAGATGTGTTGATCACTTGAGAGATACTAAGGAGCAGAGTCATGGCTGGCTTGCTCTGATTTGGGGTTGTGTTGCAGCTGAAAGGCTGGTCCTGCTGCACATGCTGTCCCTTGCACCCGCCCTGGCAAGCGGCAGCCGTGGGCTGAGTCGTATCCCCAGCCCTGCTCAAATGCTCATGGTCATTGCACTGCTGAGCTTATCTCCTGCTGAGCTTGTGTGATTGCTGAATATGTAAGGGAAGGGCTAGGAGTTTTGAAAGGAAGAGAGGACTGTCCCTTTCAGCTGTGCCAGATGATGTTGCTGGGCTGCCAGGCAAAACTGCTGGGATTTGATGGAAAGGGTAACTGGAGTGTGGGGCCAGGGGAGGAGTGTGCTGCTCCTGGGTTGAGTGTGTGTGTGTGTGTATACATGTATGTCTTCAGGCTTTTATTTTGTAACTCCATTTCCCATATTATAATCAAATGTTTATTTGCAAATGTCTGGTAATATCACCTCTGGCCTAGCAGCTTTGGACTTGGGAGTCTTTGGGGATACCTCAAAGTAAGGGTGAGCTGGCCGATGTGCCCTGGGGTTTCCTGGATCTGAGGACAAGTTTTAGACCTTGCTGTAATGTCTGTTTGTAGATGTTACAGGTGTCCCTCCTGGGAGCAGGCTGTTTGGCAGGGGACAATCACTCAACTGATGGAAAACATGTTCATCACACCACATGGGAGCAAGGTGGAGAAACTGGGCAGTGAGCAGACCCCGAACTACCTCACCTTCTTTCAAGGGCAGTCCACAGCACAGGCACTAACTTGCTTGAGTTCAGAGCCAGCAGGGTTGTCCACCTATCAGACACAACCCTTCCAAGTTTTCCAGTGCATGTGTAATCTCTCTTCCTTGCACCTCACTCCACTCACCAGTTTTCTAAACTGAATCCCTCTAGTACAGGGACTAGTTGCCTACAGCCCCTACAACAAGCATAGGGAGCATGCCTTAAGCAGAAGACAGAGACCCTTGAAAGCAAGGCAGAAACAGCTGACAAGAAGAGAAGATAAGCAAGGCAAAATGAGAAAGCTATTTTGAAAACGTACAATTATCAGAGTGCAAGCACTGCTGTCAAACAGGCCATTATGAGGGATTTGGGTGGAGCAAGAGTAAGTAGCAGTGCTTCAGCTCCTCATGTGTAGAGGGGATGCAGGGCCACTGGTGAAGCAAACATCCATAGGATTGTGGATGCAGTATTCCTTAGGAACTGTGCGGCACCTGTGGGGAAGCTCTGAGGAGAATTTGAGAGAATGGCTAGTATGGTCACAGCTGGGGGCAGTGACTCCTTTGGTGTCAGCCTCCTGCTGAAAAGCAGGAGCAATAGACTCAGGAAGGAAAGAGGTAGTGAAGTCAAAGGGGGAGAGTGCAGGACCTGGAAGAAGACTTCCAGCTGCTTGGATAGAAAGGAAACACAAGGAGGAAGGGACCACAGGATCTGCAATTAGCAGGACCTAGCGAAAGCTCTGAAACTGAAGAGGAGAGATTATGGGCCCCTACACTAAGGGGGAAGAAGTGCTGAGCACCACTACACTGCCTGTTGAGAAAGGAAGTCTCAAACTGAAGCTATAATTGCCATAAGTGAAGAGACTGACAAACCAGGAACCTCTGCAAGCAGGGTTCCTGAATTATGAAAAACAAGAGGACGTGGCCAGAAAATGGATATACTGAAAGCAGCTGAGGTGATTTGGCCTGAAATTTGGTTTGGAGAAGTTCACTGGAGCCATGTTGCTTAGTTAGATGTTCTAAAGATAACTAGCCATTTTTTTCCAGTTACAGAGCTTACTCTATTACCATCCCTTCTTCCCATCCCTTTCAGCAAGGATTTGTTAATCTTTTCATATTAATCCTCTTTGATCTTCTAAGAACTTAGGTAGCTTAGTAAACAGTCTCATTCTCTTGCAGCCCATGAGTTTTTCAGCTCCTTGTAGCCTGGACCTGGGTGGCAATTCAACACATGGTTGCAAGTCTTTTCCTGTTTCCCTTTTTTTGTTTTTGGGTTATTTTTTGGGCAAGGTCCCTCTGAAGACACTTTGCTTTGTATCATGCAGCCTGTATCTTGCTTGTTTTGCACAATCTTTCCCACCAGCCTGCAGTGAGTATTTTCCAAAATTTCCATGGGTCAAGATGGAGTTCGTGGCACTGGCTGAGTCTCATGTTCAGCCCCGTCACCTGTCAGCAGCTGTCTCAGTGCATATACCCTAGAAACGATCACTTACTGGTCTGAGTGTTCAAGCCCATATTGACTCCAGCACCAGCTTTCTTCACAAGCAGAAGATTTTTGCAGCCTGCTGACCATAAGCATAATGGCAGCAGCTCTAGAAATGCAGCTGAGGCAGCTCCAGTTCACACACAGCCTGCACAGCAGGCAGTGGGAACCTGCCTCAGATAACAGCTGAGCTCGCCAGGGCTACAGCCTTGGGCTGGGTCTGCAAACAGGGCAGGAGCAGAGGGAGTGCAGGACAGTTTGTAACAGCGCTGACGGGTCTCTGTGCAGGATTGCCACATACTTGCACCTGCCTCAGTGTTCAGTGCCAAGCAAAACAGCCCCAAGGACACAGGGGATGGGGAAGTGGGATGGAAAGTAAACTGAAGCAGCCGCGGCCCCAAGCTCCACACAGGGCTGTGGGAGCGTCACCCAGAGCTGGTCGCTGACCGCAACTCTCAGCTGCTATCACAGAGCACAGCTGTCCTGGGGGCTCTGCCATCCAGATTTTGCCTACAGGGCAGAAACATCATTACTGGGTTGAGCAAGCTGAGCTGCTGCTTTGGGGAAATGGGTGTGATCCATCATAGAGAATCTTTAACTTCCTCTTCCTAGAAAATTCAGCAGCAGCAGGAAATCCAAGTTTTGTATTATACTTCCAAAATTCTTTTCCAGGAAGATGCCAGAACCAAAGTAATTATCTGCTAACCATAGATGTATGAGCTTTCCACAAGGAGCGGCTTTATTAAAAAATAAAATATGACTAGATACTTTTTCAGTGTATTGTCCATCAGGCACAGAGATGCATCTGTATGTTTTTACAGAAACCATGGGAGAAGGCTTCACTGGCCTTCTGGAATTCAGGCACAGCAATTAGTTCATGTGTACATGTCTCTGTTTGCACACAAAACTTTTGGCATGGCATGGATGGCAAGTTTCAACTTGAGCCTTTGTGGTTAACAAAACCTCCTTTGCTTCTGTGTGAAACCAAGTCTCCAGGCAGAGTTATTAGTTTAAAATAAGATCATTAGATGTGGGTTGTTTTGTTGGTTTTTTTTTTTTACTCCCCTCCAGCTGGTTCTTTACTACACAGGCTCTCTTTTACTAATCCAGATGGTTTTGGGCAGCCAGGGCTAAGTGCCATGCCAGTTTATGAGGTACAGCCCAGCCAAGCAATTCTTCATTCTTGATGTGTTGTCTGCTGTCCATTACTTCAGCTCTTGGCAGGACTTTATGATGTGCAAACATTCCTTAGGGGACTTATTCACATAAGCTCCAGTATGTCTCTATTTCTGGAAACCTTCAAGCAGCCCATTATAATCAGGTGGTCATGTTTTCCTAGGACAAACAAGTCTGTTCAGACTTTGTCCTGTGGAATTTCAGGTTGGTTGTACTGTAATCAGAGGTCCTGTCTGCTGGGCATTTCTGTCCTCTAGCACACTCTGGCCACACCTAACTCCATCCCAAATTACAGCCTGACTTGAACTCCGAAGAGGATTGGAAGTCAAGTTTCCATGTTATCCTTTGTAACTTCTACAGTTTTTTGACCTTACATGAAAGTCAAGCATTAGTGTTTGAAAATATCCAGTCTAACCAGGTACATTTCAGTACTGACTATAGAACATCTCAGGTCATTTTATAACTGACTTTGTCTGAGTTATGTCACAAGCCTGTCATGTCTTCATATTCATGTGTGCTAGGACAAAGGAGCAACAAATCATTCTGTTGTGGATCAGCAAGTGGAACACTTGCAATTACTGTACAACACTAATGACAATTTACCTGGGACACAGAACTGAAAGAATAGACAAGATCTTTAAATAAATCCAAGTGCTTATACACCAACACATCTTACATGGCATAAGCTTAGAGGTTTCTTCAGATATTGAACACAGAATAATAGGTAAATTCATAGCTCAATCCAGGCATTTTTTAATGTCTGTTGCTTAAATCTTTAATTGCCTTTTGGAAATATTTTTTCTTAAGAAATAACAGATTCAGAACAAAGTGCTTTAGCCTTGTTCTTTTGGTTTGCACCCCTCTCCTCATTCATGAAGTACAGTGCTAGAGATACTTTCAAAACCTTTCAACTGATGTGTTTCTGCGGTCTCACAAGAACACTAAATAGCATTAGTCTCTGATCTCTTTGTCCATGGCAAACTACATTTCAAGGCATCCTGTGTGCTATAAAAGGTTTAATTTCTGCTCTGTCAGGCAGGCAAGGAGATGTTTGTGATACTTTAATCTCTCATAAACTAACAGTATTTGAATTTGTTCATTTTGGTTTACTAGCTGCTGTTAACATTCTATTGGTCTTTAATCCCAGTGCTCACATATGACTTCAGACTTATATGTATCATCCTTTTTCCAAACAGCTCTGAAGCAGTTCACCACGTGTGGTTGGTGGAGGCTCAGCTGAGTTCTGTGCACCTGACTTAACCAGGTTACTCACTCAGGCTAAGCCAGACTCAGAATTCAACTACAGAACACTACTACAAACTCGCAACGCATTTCAACAGCAGGTTCAAGCAGATGTACTAAGTAAGCAGTTTTGCTTGTTTTTCTTTGTTTCTCCAACAATGGGAGCTTTTCATTTTTTTTTCTTTTTGTTCTCTCAAGCTCTAGGGCTTACCAGTCCTTATGTTTGAATATGAAGAACACTAGGATCAGGATCCCACTTTGTCTCAGCAGCCTCAGAGACTTTCAAGAGCAGAAAGATAGGTGAGATAAAGATGTTTGATACATCTTCTGCTGAATGGCACTTATCAACTGCAGCAATTCAGGACTAGAAGGGGAGTTACTCCTCTATAACTAATGTTGTCCTAGCCAGCAGGCAGCTTCCATGCTGTGTAGCCCCTCATCACAACATAGGGTGGGCAAAACAGGGAGTGCACTGCTGGCCCTGCATAAGGCAAGAAGATGTAGGAGAAGAAAAGAGGGTCTCTGCTATGCACCGAGTGTTCATGAAAAGAGGTGTATCCAAAATTATCTAGATGCATTAGAAACTCCAATACATAGCAGTGGATGTAGCGGTCCTAAGAAGAACAGAACTGCAATGTGGCTGTCATTTTGTTAAAACCAGCCTTCAGCACGTGTCAAGGCCCACTTTAGATCAGGGAGCCAGACAGTTCTGTTAGACTTGTTAGTCTGAACAGCCACATCATGCAAGATAGAAGCTTCTTTTTCCTGTTCCCCAGCTATACTGTCATCCATCCTGGGTTTATCCCAATAAATATGAGGGCAGTGGAAGGGGATATCCAGGTTGTTGAAGGTGTATCACTTGTACCAGCTGCCTTACCAAGGAAGCCAACAGGCTTGCCGGTTAGGGATACTGAAGACTTATGAAAGATGGGGAAGAATAAATAGATTTCTGCCAGTCAGCCTGACTGAGCTAAAAAGGGGAAATAATACAAGTTCCCTATTACCGTGCACATCCAAAATTCCTTGAACAGGAAGCCCGGGGACAAGGCAGACTCAACACCCTATAGATGTATGTGCATTGAAGCCAAGGAAATGTGATTTCTGCTTTAGTCACATGAAAACAGTTATTTCCTTGCACTGAGTGCAAGTCAAAAGGATCTGTTTCTCTCTGCACTCCTACGCTACTATAGTGCTCAGTCAGAGAAGTCTTAATTCATCCTTGTTTATTTTTTAGAAAATCCCTATATATCTAGGTGCTTAAAATGAAGCATTAGTTACATGGAATATGTGCCCTCTAAGTCCAGAAGTTGCTGGATATACTGCAAAGGTGTACTGGGGCCAAAAGTGACCCAGTGACCTCTGCAGGAGATGCTGGTATGGCTGTGAGGCACTGGCAGGGCAGCAGCAATCATGATCCAACCTTCTCAACATAATTAGCAGGATAGAGTCCAACTTGGCCAGTGAGAAGTTGGCCCTTGCACCAGCCCTGCTCATCTTCCTCACTGATCTTCATTAGTTCTTCACCTAAAAGTAAAAACATGCATTAGGAAGCAGCCTTGAGAAAGGCAGTATGGCATTTTTACCCACCTCAGAAGACCTGATAAAAAGCAAGACCTATTGGTCTGAATCACCACACTTTTCTCCCATAATCAACACTCTGTATCATATTGCACAGTTTAATCAAAGCCAGAGTTACTAACCTCTTCAGTATCTGTGATCGATACCATCCCCTAGGCCAAGGAATTTAAACAGGCCTTCACTTATGCTATTCAACATCAGAAATACTTTTGTGCCCTATAGTTCTGCCTGCTTTCCTGCCCCAAGGAACATGCTTACAGCCAGAGCAATCAGAAGGATCTCCAATTTTCTTCTTAGTGGCTCCTCTGGTAGGCAAGTGGGAAGGAAACATAAGAAACTGCTAAGCTCTGTTCCATGCCTGTTTCATGATGAAGTATCTGGTTTAGCCAGCAAGGCATGCAGTCAACTAATTTCACAGACTTTGACCAGAAAAGGCTTTTAACCATCCCACATCTACTTTGGGAAGGGTAGAGAGGTCCCCTTCTCCACCAGTAGAAGGTCATATTTTTGCCAGAAAGGGAGGTCTGACTGCATCAATAGGCACATCCCACACTGGCAGAGGCTCAGAAAGTCACCGCTGTTAAGCTGAAGCCTTACTGCTGCATGTTGCTCAGAACAGCTTTGGAAAGGAGATGACTAAACCTAAGAAGGCATACCCCATTGCATCTGCTGGGTGGGAAAAGAGAGCAGTCAAGGTCTAGAGCACCCATACTGTGAAATATTTTAAAAGCCACAAGTTAGTGTTAGAAGTTTACTAGTATGCTAACACTGCAGCACAGATACTGGTCTCAGGCACAAGCCCTGCTACTAAAGGACTTCAGTGCCTTTTTAAAACAGGTGTATTTTGGAGCACTATTGCACAGAGGTACCATGTAAAACTCAAAACAAGTGAGATGAGAGAGACACTCCCAAGACCCAGATGTCCTCTTGAAGTTGAGAAGAGGGCACATGCAAACTAATTTATGTGCAGGAAGGAAAGGGAAAGGGTCTGTTTGCTTCAGCACTCAATCCTCAATTCTCAAGATATCCATTTTGAGCAACAGCTGGTTTTTTGCCAGTTGAACTCTGCCTTCAGTAGTGCATGTCAGTCAGCTCAGCTTTCTCCCAAAATATCAATGTTCACGTTACTTCAAAGGACAATCCAGACCACCTATGGAATTTTTATATCAATGGTACAAGGGAGAAGCATTTCATAAAGTCTCAAGATACAATGTAGAATAAATGCCTCGAGGAGGGAAGAAGGATCTGTTTTATCCCTTGGGGTCTGCTCTCCCTACACTGTGTCCAAGGCCTAGACAGCCTCTTTTCATGTGGCCTCACTGTCTTTTAGTCTAGAACAAGTTGGACTTCCCAATGTACCATCCACCTCACAGGAGCTGGCAATGCATCAGACCAAGGGAAGAAGAATAAGTATCAGTTTTCAAGGGGACATCCAGTTCTTAGAGTATTTCAGTCAGTCAGCCCAAGTGAGGACAGCAAAAGGTTAGTAAGAGATTAGTGCTTCTGTACCTGCTTTAAAGCTCAGCTCATCAGCCTCCTGTCCTGTGTAATCGTACAGTGCTCGTACCCGTACACCTGGTACCTTTATGTCCTCCTCGTGCCCGTTGGCATCCAGGCACTTCTTGGGAGTGTCTCCATCTGACCACTCTGAAATGTCTTCCTTCTCTCCACTTTGTATGTGGAAGGCAAGAGGGGACAATATGGTTGTTAGTAAATTCATCTCTCACCCACCTCCTCCTGAATCACGCACCACCCTGACTCCCCCCGAGACTGCTCTGCTATAGAACAGGGTGCAAGATGCCCAACAGCCAAGTGAGGGTGAACAGATCCCCGGAGATACTAGGTTCTGTTGAAAGCATCCTAGCATTAGAGCCTTGAGGGCAAGTAGGGTAACTCACTCAAAGTATTTTCACACATGCACACCCTTCATGATCCAATCCTCCTCTAGCAGACCCTCTTATACAAGAAAGGCCAATCCTAACTGGAGAGCCCAGCTATGTCCAGAATTATTCCAGCCAGGAATAAGACAGAGAGGAAGAGCCATGTTTCCCATTCTAAAGAGATATCTGGAATTATGTTTTCCAAGTCAGGGACAAGAGCAGAAGTGAAGAGCAGCAGAGGACAGACACCCGGAACCCAAAAACCCCTGAAGAGGCTGTGTTCCATACTAACTTCACATGGGTGGGTGCCTTCAGGGTGTCATAGAAGAGGCTGTTCTGCTCCTCTTGATAGGAAAACCTGTAGATTGACAAATAGGGCCCCTGAATCCAATAGACTGTGAAATACAATAGTGGCCCTGAGAAATCTTGATATCCCCATTCTTCTCTGCTCAGTTTACTTAGGCCAGAGTTCACCTTTTAAAGCAGGACAGCTACTGGAACAGTAGGATGAGTCTGTTCAGCCTCTCCCTATTCTCCAGTTTGCTTCCTGGCAAGGGAAGCAGCTATACCCAGACTTGTAAGGTAGTACTCAGCACCATGCCAGGGAAAAACAATAAAAATCTGATGCCTGCACTTAGGAAACCACACAGCCAACTGGCAAAGCTGCCAGTTCCCAACTCTTCTCACTCTGTCTGGAAGGAGGAAGAAGAATCAGGGAAATGCATGCCAGAATCACACAACATTAGCCTGATTGGGCTAAGTCTTGTTACTAGAAGGATCTTTACAAGGAATGCATCTTGTGAGGCAGCATGTACTGGAAAAAAAAAACAACCAAACAAACCCAAACCAAATCCAAATAGCTACCCTAAACCGCCTTTTCTACCTGGTCTTTTCCAGAGTGACACAGGCAAGGCCATGGGCAAGAGACAGGAAGTTAAGGAAGAGATCACTCCTCTCAATCCAATTCATGCATGACCCTAGGCAGGACTAACTGATGTATCCCAGACTTCTGCCCTTACCTCTGCCTTGTCTGCAGAGGGGTCTGTGAGACAACACCATCTCGTGTAGGCATAATGCTGGTCAGTGTGACATCATCAGCCATCTTGCCACTCTTCTCCTTCTTGGTGATTTGCCGCTGTGTTTCAAGGGACCATTCCTGTTCAAGGAAAACCAGTAACACTATCAAGCCACTCAGACAGAAAAGTTCTGTGCATCGTTTTTGCCCAGTACAGGACAGAAGACCAGGTCGTACTTCAGTAGCACTGAGCTGGTTAGCCCAATGGCCTTGCTGGCATAGCAGGCTCACTTTTGTTGAATTCCAAGGTGCAACAACCAGCTGTGAGGAAATTATCACAGGAACTTGTCAGAAGGCCCTGAGCCACCTCCTGTTTTTCAACCTTGCAGCTTGATGGCTGGAATATTTGCGGTTTGGCAGGGTTGCATATGTCCCTTTGGGCACCAAACAGCTTGCAACACAACAGCAATTTTAGAAGAGCTTAACATCCTGAGCCTGCTGAGCAAAGACATGGTCTCTCCAACACAAGACTAGTAATCCCCCAATTTCAGTAAAGCAGCTACTTGTTTGGAAGTAGTACACTCTAGAACGCTACATCACCTCAAACTGAGGCCAATTCATCGCCATGCCCGGTCCATGAGTGTTGCGCCACCACTTCAGGTCCTCCTGGTTGTCTGCAGCCATGATGACTTGGTGGAGATCTCGATACAACGCATGAAAGCTATGACCAGAACAGACAGAACCACCAGTAACCAAGTTTCTCAGCAGTTTCCCAAAAGCCAAGTTGGAAGGAAGAGATTAAATTAATGCACAATTACACAGCATCC